AAGCCGAACACCATACATGTAAGTACCCGCGAAAACTTAAGAAAACATATATATATATATATATATATATAATGTGTGTGTGTGTGTGTACACACACACATACACATTCAACATATATAATCTTCTCAACTAACTGTTAGCACCTACTTATTGTTCGATATGGAGCAATGGAATTCAAGGGAAATTGGACTTCATCCACTTATGGCTACATAGAGATTCTTGGCTGATCCCCCCTTTAACTCCGCCTCCAGGCTCTGCCACTCCTTCTCCTGCAATTACTATTGTAAACTAAGGATTGCCTGTATGGTCATGGGAATATGCAGCTGAAAGTGGCTGTCCTATATTTCCCCTGAATCTTGCTTTCCAACAACCCATTCAGTACTATAAAGAACTTCATGCTTTTTTCACTGTAGGAAGTCCAATTTGGATTGGGACAATGTGGTAAGGAAAAACCTTTCCTATCCCAGAACCACAGTTCAGATCCAAGTCTTTCCTTGCGCAGCAATATTTGAATTTGATATGAAGAGATCTTTATCACAGACATCCCAATTTCTGGTCAAGTTTGGTCTTGAGCACAACAGAGAATAAATGAAGAAGTAGAAGGCAAATGAAACAAATAGCAGTGGAGAATGAAAGAGAGAAGCAGGAGATGAGAAATCAAAATATTAAACCATAGAATACGATTTCCCTCAAAACTGTGATAGGTGGAGATGCAGATTTGGACCATGAAAGCAAGAAAGAGGATTTGCAAAGGGAAAGTTCTCATTATATGACTTGTTAATCTCCAGCATGGTGCCAAACAATGTTGATATGCCATCATACAAACTTTTGGGGCCAGGATTTTTTGGGTTTAAAAAAAAAAATCTACTGTAATTTTTAAGAAAGTAAGTTGGCATGCTGCAAAGTAAAAGAATCCCTTTTTCTCACTTTCATTAATGTATCTAGAGCCCATTTTTAAAAAAGAAAACAAAACAAAACAAACAAAACAAAACAAAAATAGTAATGAGCGATTTGAATATTATGTCCAACTTTGCTTAGCAAAAAAGTGTTATATTATGTTCCTTATTATAGCCATTTTGTGCACAGAAAAATCTACCTAGTGGCAATTTTGTAAGTTTCCCAAATTCAATATGCATTCATAACTAAAAAATGTTGGGGATTCCAGCATACTGGCATCAACTGACTATAAATGTTAACTATACTTCAGTGACTTCATAATCAAGAAACATAGTTACAGGATACAGGTAGTCCTCAACTTATACAACTGAGCACAATTGAGCCCAAAATTTCTGTGGGTAAATGAGTCATTTGTTAAGTGAGTTTTGCTCCATTTTATGACCTTTCATGCCAGTTGTAAGTGAATCACTGCAGCTGTTGTTAAGTGTCAGTTGTTAAGTGAATTTGATTTCCCTGCTGATTTTGCTTGTCAGAAGGCCGCAAAAGATGGTCCTGGGATATCGAAACTGTCATAAACATCAGTCAGTTACTAAGCATCTGAATTTTGATCACGTGACCATCAGTATGCTGTAAGAATCATAAGTGTGAAAAATGGTCATAGGTCACTTTTTTCAGTGTGGTTGTAACTTCGAACATACTAAATGAATTGCTGTTAAGTCAAAAAACCTATTTCATTTTTTAAGAATAGAAATAATGAAAAAGAAATAGAAATCATCTAAATCTCATGCCTACAAGAAAATGTACAAGCATATTAATGGGTGGGGGCCTGCTCATTGTAAAACAATTTTTTTCTATGGGGAGTTTCACTTCCTTTATTTATTTTATATTGGGGGTTCTGAAGATGCAGCTGGCAATTCAATAAATAACCCACAAAACAAGGCCAACAATGTTAACATGAAAAAATAGTTTGGTTATACCTCAAGAAAACTTAACATACACAGTTTTCACTTGCAGAGCAGGGGGAAAAAAGGTTTAAAAACATTCTGCCAAAACTCTGGATTTTGCCTCTGAATTTGGGAAGCACAATATGGCTACCTAAGTCAGAAAGAGCATTGATTTATATCTAATCAAAAACTTCAAACTATTGTTCCAAGAACCAAAACACACACTTAAAAATTAAGCAGGATTCCCAGTGTACAAATTTAAGTGATATTTTGACACACTAGAAATATTTTTAAGTTAATATATCAATAAATCTATAGTAACCTGCTTGGAAAAGATAAATCAATATAAACATGAAGACAGCTATCAATTTATTTGCTAGAAGTTACTAAAGTAAAAAACTACAATTATGTTTAAAACAATTGGAAAACTAATAGAACTATATATATAATTTAAAGATAAAAAGAGGGTAAAATAATGCTACCTTTCTCAGGATTTCAAAAACAACCTGAAAAGTTTACATGAACTAATGTTAGCATAATTTTAGTTTACAGTCTTTTGACTGCTTCTAAACATTGGGCCCTACAAGGTTTTCATTAGAAAATAATACCAGATCCAAGTATATGTAAAATGACTTTGGTTTCTGTGCAAAACAAAAACATCCACTTGGAAACACTTCACCTCAACCTTTACAAAAATGACCCATTTGTGTGGCTCCAAGGCTTTTCAAATACAAGATGCCCTGTTCCGTATTGTTCCAAATGTGATCAGCAATATTTATAGAAAGAAACAAGCAAATACTTGCATATTATTCTCATACTGAAATCATTAGACATTTATTAAGGGAATCACACTAAATTTTACAAAACGCAGCCGAACAAAAGCTAACAAAATACTTTAATGAGAAATTATCTTTGGGATAAATCTATAGATAAAGGTTTTTAAACAACCATGCATACTAAACATACTTACTCATCCAGCAAAGGGTGCTTTGGGGTAAAAAAAAATTAAGAAACATTCAGGTATATGTTCTAATAAGAAATAATTTATTCTTTTATGAAAACACTCAGACACTTCAAAACTAAATGAACCAATTAATTTCATTGACTATTTACTTTTGTCTGAAATGGTATAGGGCCTCCTGCTTGAGCAGGGGGTTGGACTAGAAGACCTCCAAGGTCCCTTCCAATGCTATTCTTATTGATTGAACAAAATCAAACAGAGATCTCCTGCCCATACAACAAAAACTCCATGTAAATATATTCAAACCAGGACACCCACCTCCAATCTTTTAAGCAATGCTACCATGGATATTTATTTCTCACATTCCCTTAACAGCACAATATATCTATTTTTAAATATATATATTTCTCATCCACCTACCTGGTGGGCAATGACATTCAGAGGGTACTTCTCTTGCTGTACGTAGTTTGGCTAATCCTTCACTCAGTTTCTGTCAAGAAAACAAACATATAAATAAATAAAAACTAATAGCCAACAAATGTGATCCCTGCTATTGTTAAACATATAAGTCCTAGCCATATTGAAGCCAAGTCTCATAGATTTCAATGAGAAAATTAAGGAAATATTTAGATCTCACCCACTGGAAATTCCAAGACTTGTTCAGCTTTGATTGGATCATGCCAGTACTTAGTTAATTTTAAAATAATTCAAGTACTTCAAGCCAAATAAACTACAGAAACCAGCACCCTGATCTTTTTGTTCCTTTCAATTATTTTATACTTAATCTGCAAAATTATTTAGGAATAGTTTAAAGAATCTATTCTTAACCATTCATCACAAGTTTTCCCCTAAAGACTTTGTAAAATCATTGACTGAGACCCAAATAAAGCAATGGTATCCATATATGCAAATGGTATGCATTTTTTAAACTAAAGGAATTACCTTTATAGAGAATTGTCTGTTTATAGATAGGATTATTCAGCTTTCATGTTTAAAAAAGGAAGAAACTAGAAAACAAAGCTGCACCATTGAATTTAGAATACTTGTTTCTATTCACTTTTGGGGCTCTATGCAGCATCAGAAGTAGATGAGTTGTAAGCATTAAATGAAATAAAGCAAATAATAAGGCAAATAAGAGAAGGGGAGAGAGGTTGAAAACTAGAAATATTCATGCCAAATTGAAACTATGCAGTTACTGACAATTCAGCAGCCCATGAAAAAAGTAACTTATAATTTCCTGTTCCACCACCTCATGTCTATTCAGGCATTAAAAAGGAGTTGGGACGAATTACTCATTCTCTTCCTCCCATAGAATTAACAAAAGAACACAACCAATCCAATCTAGTTATTGTAATGGGAATACCAATGCTGCTTTTCCAGCTTGTACTACAAGCCCCCAAAAATTTCATTTCCAGATTCAGAACAAAGATTCTGGGCATATTTGAAATACCAAAGGCTTTGTAAAATTAAGATCCTTCCTATCCCTATGATACTACTGAAAACTAGATGGGACATTATTCATCCATCATAATGGTAGCTCAGCTCAATCTACAGAGGAGCTCCCTAGAATGAAGCAATTAGGTTGGAAGATTTAGAAAATTACAAAGGAAGTTCTACTTATATATTAAATGCAGCTCTTAAATATGTTGACACTTGCATTATGGATTGATGAAAGTTGTTTCCATGGATTGGTAGGGAATCCAATTTATATAATGTACTTTAGGACAGGAAAAATCCTTCCAAAAGGTGCTGCTGAATACAAGGGATCATTTCTTTTGGGCTGTGGGTTCAACTGCATACGTGCAGTCAGTCACCTTCCTGCCTTTTTCCCAGCAAAGAAAAGTGATTTTGCATGCATGAAGATGCAGGAACATCTCGAAGCAGTACCCAAAGTAGTTGTGTAGGCTTGGAAAAAGATATGGCTGCTTTAACTATTTGAAAAGTGGAGCTTCGAATATGCTCCTCCTCTGAACCCAGAAGCATCTTCTCTAATATACAATAAAGTAACTTTTTTTCTTTAGGACTAAGGCTGAAAAGTCAAAGAAGAGAAAAATACAACAAACTGCTCTGGGAAAAAAACAAGTTGTTCCAGCCCTTAAGCATTTTTCAAGGCAAATTCATTTGAGAACTTTCTAACTGTGGAATGTCATTTAGAGACGTGCTCTTGGGACATTTTGTGCAGCACAAGAATGAGGTATCATACTCTGATGCCCTCCTTTGGAGTTCTCAACTTTCACTGGCATGCCATCACTGATGGCTCTGCAATGACATCCATTCTCTTATTTGGCACTGACCTACAGCAACTAAAAATAACAGCTATATAGAAAATAGACATTAACATGTTTTAGCAAAAAGAGCTGCGCATATATCAAATTTTATTCAGTCCTCCACTGAATGAGGGAAATTTAGAGACAATAGCTTTGTCTTTACACTAGGTCTTTACACTATGTAGTCAAATAATACAAATCACCCAGACCTCCTGCTTAAACAGCAGGTGGAAGATCATTGAACAATTGCATCTTGTATATCAGCTGCAGCCATTTTTGGAAGAGGGGTTTTAATGCATGCTTTTGTATTTCACAAGTGGCCCTCATGGGGCTGCCTTTGAAGACTGGTCAGTCACTTTATTTGGTTCTGTAATTGGCCGGAATAGTTACAGGAGTACTAAGGTTCACCTGTATGACATCTATGTGACATCACTACTGCAGATGCAGCAATGATTGCCAGGTAATTCCAAATGCAGCTTGAAGTGCAGGTTATCACCTTTAAAACCATACATAGTTTAAGGCTTGGATATCACCTTCTCCAAAATGAATATTCTCCTTTGGCTGTCAGAAAGGGCTTGTTGTGGGTCCCAAATCTGATAAAATGCCATCTACAAGGAACTTATGCTACCTTCTAAATACATAAAATTTGTTTTTCAAACTATATAGTACAGGCTAAGAAGACATTTCCATGTGTTAATCTCACCAATTGTGTTATAAAAAGATCCACCACATAAGTGAGCATAGAACTGATGCAAGAAGATACGGGTCAAGCAAGTTACATGATCCAAAAATTCCAATGTCTCTCTATAAATACAAAGAGTATTCTATATAAGAATTAGGCTAGAAAAAGATGGTGGTGTTGGTGTTGGTGGTGGTGTTGGTGGTGGTGGTGATGATGATGATGATGATGATGATGATGATGATGATGATGATGATGATATAGCAGCAACATGAATTTCAACACAAATGAATGTGAAGTCTTATATTTGGGTAGGAAAAATCAAATACCCGTAGGAATATAAGGTGCAGGGGAAATACTGTATTCAAAAAGAATCTGTATCTTGATAGATCACAAAATATGAGCCAACTATTATATTTGCAGAAGAAAAAGAAACTATGCACTCCTAGACTGCATCAAAAGTAGTGTTACAATAATGTTAATGATAATCATTGTATCTCTTTATTCAGCATTGATGCATTCAGTTTTGAGCATCTCATTTTAGGAATGACACTAAAAAAAACAGAGCACGCCTGGAGGAAAACAACAAAGATAATAAGGAATCAAGAATGAAAACTACATGAAGAACAGCTGGACAAGTTTGGTAGCTTAGCTTGGAGAAGACAAACGTGCAGGAAGTCATGAAACTTTATTTTAGGTATTTGAAACTGTTTTGTCATGGGAAATTATAGATTTTCTTTCCCTAGAGGAAAAGCTGTGGAAGGGCATGTATCAGAACTGGAGAAGTGATTCCTACATTGAACTGGAAGATGTATTAAACACCCAAAGTTTCTTTCAACCTTAAATCTATAACACTATGAATTTCCTTTTAAAACCCAATACTTAAGTAGTTTAGGAATCATAATAATCCAGGCAACAGGTTATCCGGCTTCTCCTTGAACATATTCAGTGAACATGAGCACCACCTCCCTTGATAATTAGCTCCATAGTCAAGTTGCTTTCTTTCTGTAACTCAAGATCATTTTTCTGGGTCATTCTTTGGGATGATAGAAACAGGTCCTTTCTTTTGATGGAAGTTTGTTTTTAAATGGCTATGTATCCCCATAATTGTCATGCTATCCAGCCCACATAGTTTCCCAATCCAGAATTTTCTTGAGTACTTTATCACTTGCTTATTGAAATCAAGATTCTTTATGTCCATAGCAATCAATATTGAATGTTATCAATCTAAAAAAATGTCAGCTGCACAAGACCTACTCTTGACTAATCCACAATGTCTTTTGATAATCACATTATTATCAAGGTATCTGTAAACTGATTGTCTTATTATTTGTTCTCAAATCTTCCCAGGTATTGATATAAGCCTAATTGTTTCAAGTTGTAGAGAGTCACAGAAATGACCTTGGAGAACCATATTTTAAGACAAGGAAACAAAGTTTTAGGAAAAACATAGGCAGGCTTTCAAAATTCTATTACTATAGTCTATATTAATACAACTCTAGTTACCTTGAGTCTGTTTCCTGATTTCCTACATTGAAGGGTTGACAATAGTTTCCTGGATCCTTCTTTTCCCATTTTTGAAGTCATAATTTCCCGTGACATTGCCTTTTTATTGTCTATCACTATATTTGTCAACCGTGGCAACTTGAAGACATTTGGACTTCAACTCCCAGGATTCCTCAGCCAGCATGATGAATGGGGAATTATAGGAGTTGAAGCCCACATCATTTCAAGCTGCCAAGGTTGAGACCATTTTGGTTGTTTTCTGGGATTTCTCAAAAGTAATACATAAAAGTTCAGCCAGACCATTCCTGTGTTTGGAATTCTATAGAACAATGTTCCTATAGTATGGTAGGATGCAAATCATGCAGCTCTGCAGATTTAAACTCTTTCAGAATAAACTGATATGTCCTGACCATCTCCGTCAGTCTCAAGCCTCAAGCTTGCCCCTTCATTCTGCCTGGTACAACACCTGCCTCCTTGTTGATAAAGCCTGAATCAGACTAGGAATTGAGTAGTTTCACCTTTGTACTTACATTGTTTGCTAATGTGTAGCATTTTGTCATCTTCACTGAGCAACTGGTATAAATCTTTTCTCTTTTATTTTGAATGTATCTGAAAAATCTTTTGTTGTTTATTATCATTCACCAACTTCATGTTATTCTGAGTTTTAGCCTACCTGGCACTAGCTCAAAAAATATGAATTTTATCTATTTTTAGCCTTTCTTTTAATCCTCCATATGTGTCCTTTTTGGTTTCAAACCTTTAGTAAATAACTAAAACTTGATTCTCGAATGAATACATTAATCCCAATGTACTTCTTTGTATGTCGGTTTAAAAATGTTTTAGAAAAGTCAAAGCATTCCAATTTTGTAGTCACTCAGAAAAAAGAAAATAAACCCAGCAGGAAACCTAATAAATGTAAGATTTATACCAATGGTTCATTGATTTAACATTACTGTATGTCTGAACCAATCCAAATTTTTAAAAGGTCAGTGACTAAGAAACTATTCTCAATCATAAACAAAAATGAAATCCAAATTATAGCTGGATAGGTTTGCAATATCCAGCTAAATGAGAAAAATAAATCTACCATCTTTCTTTGAGTATTTTTGTAGCATCCACTGCTTATATTAGAATTTCCTTTTTTCATAATGACTATTTGAAGAAGGGATTTTCATTGCAATATCACTTCATTATGCTGCAATTATACAATTGCACTACAGTAGTAATTTCCCCATTTATGTTGGCTTGTGTTCCTCTATTTCTAAATCGCAAGCCAGTAAAGTTGGACTGAATTAATCATATTGTATAGACTGGCTACAAAATTCAAAACATTGGTAGGAAAGTGCTATTTATAGCTGGAGAGTGTACTCCAGGTTATCTTACAAGTTATCTTGTGACAGTTAAAGAGGCCATGAAGAACTGTATCTGAGACTAATTGAACAATTACCTTATTTGAATGCTCTGTCAGTAACACAGCAAAATTAAGAATCAAAGGCCATATTTATCCATATCCTTTGGAACTACAGTACCTATGTTTGATCAATTTTGTAGTTCTGCAGAAATTCTGCTTTTGAAATAAAATTTAAACTCCCTGTTATTATTTCTTGGCTACTTACAACCAACATTGTGGAGTTAGAGAGCATATAGATGTTGCTGTCAGATTCTGTCCTGGTTTTATTTAAATGTTAAGCAATTTCATGCCAATTTTCCAGTCTTGGAGATACAGCTACAGACTGAGAAACACTGTAAACTGCTTTCCTCTTTTGACATGGATTTTGCATCATGTATCTATATCCCACACACTTCTGGTCTTTTAAAGAAAGCAAACTATGGATAATTTGCATAGGATTAGAAAACATACCATGAAAGAGATTCTTAGCCTTTCTAATTCTTCTCCCAAAGTGGGCTGCAAACAGTGAAATTTCAGGAGCAAAAATACTCAAATACTACGAACTTGTTAGATAAAACTTACGGTACTTCATTTACCTATCTATCAATATTTGTAATCTGCCCCAATCCTGAAAGAAACCAGGCACTACATGATCAAAACAAACAAAAATCTGGAAACAGAAATAAACAAAGGAAAAACATAAAAATGCAATCCAATGCAAAACCTTAGACCAGGGTTGTCAAAGTTGTGTCATCACAGTAGTGTTACATGTCACATCGTGATTTTTTTCTTCACTAAACCAGTCGTGGGCATGGCCAGAGTGTGATGCATCTGGGCCGTGGGTGGGCCGTGAGTTTGACACTCCTGCCTTAGACAAACACTCTCAATCAATCAATCAGCTAGGATCAAAGGTTTATTGGAATAAAGTATATATAATTGATTTTTGAGATGTCAGCAAAGTGGAAGCTTCACACACTTCAGGAAAGAAAGAATTCCAGAAGGAAGAGACCACCACTGAGAAGGACTATTATTCTGTATAACTCCAGATATGAATTTTACCTCATGTTTTAGAATAGTAGCCATCCTGGTTTACTGCAGAAAAAAAAAATCAACACTGTGAAATTGTAATTCCTTACTATAGCATGCAAATCAATTCTTTTTTTCCATATGTATAACACACGTCTTTGCTTTTACAGTGTCACAAGCTTCTGTCCTCACTTCATGTCAGCAATTACCCTATGACGAAGCAGAATCAAGTTGTCAGTGGTATCTAACGTTTTGTGAAGGCACAGCACAAGTAACTGGGTATTTAAGAAAGTCCCCTTGGCTTCCCTCATGTCAAGCTTAACTCCTGGTGGCTGAATAGACATGTCCATGTCTTACTTGGCAACTATACAAAAGTGGTTTGCCACTGCACTCTTCTAGATGATTTTTCTAATTGTGTCATCTACGCTACAACCAAAGGACTTTCTACTGGACTTTCATCCAAGTACTAATCCAATCACGCCATGTTTTGTTCCAGATCAGCCCAGTTCAATGCTAGAAAGGGGAATGTCTTAACTGCAACAGATAATTAAACTGAGATTAAGATTTGTGTGAACACCATGCCAGTGAAGTCTGTATATTAATTGCCAATCTTTTAGTGAAGAGAAGGACCAGGGGAGACATGATAGCAGTCTTCCAATACTTAAGGGGCTGCCACAGAGAGGAAGGGGTCAAGCTATTTTCTAAAGCACCCAAAGGCCAGACACGGAATAATGGATGGAAACTGAACAAGGAGAGATTTAACCTGGAAATAAGGAGAAACTTTCTGACAGTGAGAACGATCAACCAATGGAACAGCTTTCCCCCGGAAGTTGTGGGAGCACCATCACTTGAGACCTTCAAGAAGAGATTGGACTGCCATTTGTCAGAAATGGTATAGGGTCTCCTGCTTGGGCAGGGGGTTGGACTAGATGACCTACAAGGTCCCTTCCAACTCTGATTATCTGTTAATCTGTTCAAGATATGGCCCATGATTTGCACATCTTTGCAACCCTATTTAACACACTTCATAAATTAAATTAGCTTCATTTTATACTTACTAGGAGGCTCTTCCTTTCCTGGAAAATATTCTTAAAGTGCTTTTGATTTTAAGAAAGGTTATTACTGGAGCTTTTCCCAATTCTATACAATATGATAATCAGTAAGTTTGAAATGTTTCAGCCATTTATAACAAACCTCCTCTCTCTAACCTGAAACCCTCTAGGTATATCTTAAATTGCAATGCCAATTTGGCATTCTGGAAAGTCAACTGATCACTATGATGAAGACTGTTTTGAGCACTGCTGTCACAGATTTTAAAAACACAAGGTAATGAAGTAGAAATCTAGATTTCACAAATGTATATTTACAAAAGTGTACAAAATTTATTTTACCTTTACAGTTTTGTGGGTTGTAGTCCAACATTTCTGGAGAATACTAGCTTAAAAGAGGTTTGGACCTTGACATCCTCAAAGCACTTTTACAATTTTGGAACTATAGCGAAGGAAACATTCTGTATATGCTCAAAATATACATCCCTTTTACATTGATTAAGGGAGTTGATTAAATGCGAAATAAAACGAAAAACGAAAATAATCACAGGAAAAGCAAAGGCACCCCATCTCTAAAATGGTGCTGAGAAAATGGCATGAATGTGGCCACCAAGAGTTAATCTCAACTCGAGGATGTCTTTACTTATATATCATAGCGCTTGCAATCCAGCAATTAAAGCAGTGCATCCTGGCAGATAACAGCTGGGTTAAAGCCAGATCTGAATTCCTGCTCAAACAGTTTAGATCAGAGGATGCTCCAAGGGCAAGTCACTTGCAACAGGCTAATGGTTTACTAAACTAATTAAAACCGCTGTGATTCTCACAATATAGTAAGCAATGGATCATCTTGCTCTAGCTTAGCCGGGAGTGCTGTGACAACAACACGGAGCAGGTGTTGAGGATAGGGTTCTCACGGGATCCCAAGCGCTTTGAGGAAATGTAGGCGAAAAGGTTAAGCATGGAGTTCCACAATGCAAAACACCCCCACAAATGTTATCATTTGGAGAAGCCAGAGAGCGGGGTCCTGTCCGCCTGCTTCCAGTACCGAGCTGTAACGGTCTCGGCCAGTTACAGCAGAAACGACACCCGATGCCCTGGGAGGCACTTTGAAGACCCACAGCTATGCAGAGTCCCGGCGGCGGCGCCTTCAGATGCCCCCGCAGCTTTGGATTAAGTTGTGAGGTGCGACGGGGCTCTGCCTGCATTCTCGGGTCCGAGCCCCGCTCTGTCAATCAAAAAGACGCCCGCGGCCGAGAGTCGGATCCAAACGCCAGGCTGCCTGCCCTCCCATTCGCAGCCCCTTCCGAGAGCCGGTGGGGGGGGGGAGGGGGGGAGCCAGACTTTGTCTTCGAAAGTTTACTTGAGAGAAGCGGGCGAATAAGGCAGCCCCCGGCCCCGCCGCCACGCCCTTGTCCCCTTGGCCTCCACCCCGCCCTTCTCAGCCCTTACCTCCTGGAGAAGGTCGTCCACCTGAGGCTGAAGCGCGGCGAGCAAAGGCTCGGCGGCCAGCTGCTCTCCGGGGCTCCAGGCGCGGCTGGCCAACTCTTCTTCCAGGGCCACCAGTCGCCCTTGCAGCTTGGAGGTCTTGGCGCTGAGGAGAAAGCAGGCGCCCACCGAGAGAAGCGAGAAGAGCAGCGAGAGGATAACGGGGCCCCTGCCGACGCCCCCGGCGCAGCGGCCGCCGCTTTGGGACGCAGCCTCGGGCGCCTTCTCTCGAGGCCCGCTCATCTCTCTCTCTCTCTCTCTCTTGTGCGCGCGCTCCGCGAGGTAGAAGCGGCCGAGCGCTCAGGTCCTCCCCGGGGAGCAGCGGCGGCGGCGGCTCCTGCGGTCCCCTGGCTGAGGAAGCGCTGGCTCGATAACGGGCGCGGCGGCAGCTCTTGGCACCCGTTGGCCGAGCGAGCGGGGCAGGAAGTTTGGGAAGCGTGGCCTCTTTCCTAGCATGGCCCTCCAGCTGCGCGGGGCGGGGGCAGGGAGGAGGGTAGGTGGGTGCCTGCCTGCCTCTCCCCCCCCCCCCCCCCGCCCCCCGGCACCCGGGGGGGGGGGGGGGGCGCCCCCACCGCCCCGCCCCTCTCCCCCGGGGGGTTGCGAAACGGATAGCCCCCCCCCCCCCCCACGTGCTTTCGCGGTCTCCTCCCAGCCCGGGTCAGAGCTGAGCCGAGCCCCCCAGCTCAGAAATGGAGAGAGGGCTCGAGGCTGCGAATGGGACCCCTTCCCCTCCTTTATGTTGCTGCCCGCCCGGCCGCCCCCCCACCTCAGCCGCGGTAGGATTTTTCTCAGCTGATGGGCTGCGGTGCGGTCTCCTCAGTCGCCCCATCGGTTTTTCCTGAGGACAGCGACGGCGCCAAAACCCTCTTCCCCGAGTAATGGATGAGTAGAGAGCCGTACCAAAGTGTTATCGAAAGGCTGGGATGTGCGTGTAAATGTGGCTATCGTTCAGTGCTGTTTCCATTCTCGGTGGCATGGGATATGTGCCATTGAACTTAGGTGAGGTTCACTTCGGAGTTGGCTTTGCTTTGTAGGGGATGGAAGGGATAATTAGTCCAAAAATGAACTTTCCATCCAAGAAATATCAGAAGGTACAACTTCATAGGGGTTCAGGATAACTACCTTGTACCCCTATGAAGTTGTGCCTTTGGATACTTTTTATTTATATATTATAGGGTCTGTGGTCTTTAATTTCCCAATGGCTCCATTCCACCCCAAAGCAAGACACCAGGTACAATTTATAACCCATAACATATAATAGTGGCAAATATCTGTAGGTCAGGTGTAGGATGAGAGTGGAGGTTTATTCTCCAGGCTTGGTTGGTTTCCAAAGGTTTTGTTACCAGGCTTGGTAAAGTCTTCAGCAGAATTTAGGGAATGTCAGTGTTGGTGTTCTTCTGCTGATAAGGGCTTTGAGTGGTCAGTAGGTCATGTAATGGGAGAGTTAAGACACTTGCCTGACATGACCTTCCCCTCACAAGACCTACTGACCACTCAAAGCCCTTATAAGCAGAAGAACAGCAACACTGACATTCCCTAAATTTTGCTGAAGATGTTACCTAGTCTGGTAATGAAATGTTCGAAAACCAACCTACAAGCTCGGAGAATGAACCTCTATTCTCATATAACTTGTACATTAAAGAGATCATATTACTGTGATGGAATTGTAAGAAGAGCTTGTCCAGCATTCTAGGTCACACAGTGGGCAGCTTGGTTGAATTGGGAAGCTCTTTAAACCTAGACTGGAAGTCGAGAGCCCCCTTCCATTGTTACTGCCTAGGGCTGCCTATAATTCAGGATGTAGTAGACAATTAGTATTCATAGCCATTGATATCCTGATCTTCTATGACCTTCCACAATGCCAGTTGCAAATTCTAGTTTAACCAAGTCTCATTTAAAACATATATTTCTATCAATCCAGAATCTCTCTGCATTCAATTTCAATGGAGGATTTTGAAGTCTAATGAGAGAAAATCTCATTATCTAAGCACTGCCTGGTTTGATGCATTCTATATTTGTTTCCTTTCGTTCTAAGAGGCTTGATTGTTGTACTGGAGCCTGCCTTTGAAGAAGAGTTTCTCTAGGCCCTAATAATTTTGATTGTCATTTTTTGCACCTTTCCTAATTCTCAAATAATCCCTTTCAAAGTGTAATGATCAGTGCTCTGAGTGCTAAAATATCTAAATAGTTTCCAATAATTGAACTTCCTTTTGTTGTGGCAGCTGTACATCGTTACGTTTTCATCAAGCTGCCCACCATGACTAAAGATCTCTTTCCTGGTGTTACTACTAAGAACTCATTAATGTACTGGTGAGATTTTATGTCAATATATATCATTTCACAGTTGTTCACACTGAATTTAATTTTTCTATCTATCATCTGTTTTTTTTTAGAAACCATCTCCTTCACAGATGCATTAAAGGTGGTTTATAAACACATTTTGCTCAGTTTGGAGGCTTTGGGGAAAATTTGCAGTTCATTTTTGATGTTACCACACTGAATAGTTTGATTTCATCAACCAACACAGCTATAACTGTTCAGCCCTAATTTTAGTTAGTGATTGTTGTTCAGTCGCTAAGTTGTGTCTGAAGCTCCTTGTGACCCCCACAGACCACAACACACCAAGCCCGCCTGTCCTCCACTATCTCCCGGAGCCTGCCCAAATCCATCTTCTTAGCGTCCACGACACTATCAAACCTTTTGCCTCCCATCTTTCCCAAGATCAGGGTATTTTACAGTGAGTCCTCTCTTCTCATTTGATGGCCAAAGTATTTGAGCTTCAACTTCAGCATCTGTTCTTCCAAAGAACGGTCAGGGTTGATTTTCTTTAGTACTGACTGATTTGATCTTCTGTCTCAAATTTACCGAATACTAATTAGAAGACTTCAGTTGCAATAGACATTTTAGTTCACACATCTATTGTCTAGACCTCAGTCACTAAACTGAGAAGCCCAACACTGCTCATTTTAGTTTAGACTTTACCAGATTAAAGTCTAACACATTCTGAATAATAAATTAACACAATGTGCATCAATTTTACATTATTTACATTATATAAGAGATGTAAGTTGGAGGCAAGTTACATTCTTTTGGATTCAACAGATATTTGACTTTAATACACATTCCCCCTCCCCCAAGTCCTCCATAAAATCACACATGCAAATAAACAATAGCAATTACAATACTCCCTGGAGGATTCCAATTTACACATCTCATCAGTGTGAAAATTGGCCATTTATCTTGGTTCCAGTTCTTCACCAGTTGTCAGTTAATGATTGCTTCTTCCTCGTATAGTTAAATTTGCTCAGATATTTTCAAATTACTGTTGGGTCAGTATTGTTCACATGTTTGTTAACACCCTCAAATAAGTTTATAAAAATAAGATTTAGTGTTACAACAACTATTTTGGTTTCTTTTCATCAAGTCTCATTCTTTTTTTTTTTTCATTTGCTTATTTTATTTTTAATAACATTTTCAATAATTTTCTCTAGAATCAATAACAAAACTAACTGGCCTAATACCTTTGCTGCCCCCTTAACCTCCAGTGAGTCACACTGGCTTTTTTTCCAGTTCTCTAGAAGTTCTGTGTTCTTGAAAAAAGATAAATGAATTCATATTAAAGTTCTTCAAAAACGTTTGTGTGGATATTGTTTGGATTTGAGGTTCTATTTATTTTTAGTGTGTCAATTTGGCTCATAATTCCATCTAACATTACCTCTTTGTCCTGCCTACACAATCCTATGCATATTTACTCAAGCATAAGTCCCACTGAGCTTGGTGGGTCTTATATTAGTATAAAATTGCATTAGGTTTCAATCTTAAACATTCTTTTACTTGAAGGTAATATAAATTGAACTCAGTTGCATGATGGTTCTAAGGAGCCCTTTTTAATTGTATGAAATCTAATTTTATTTGTTGTACTTTCAAAAGGCTTTTGATAAAATCACCAAATATCCTTGAGCAAACTTAGCAGTTATAGAATGAGAGGTTCTCTTTTTATTAGAACTGGCTAAAGAAAGAAAGCAGGAATAAACAGATATTGCAATGAATACATCTAAATAATGAAAATGTAAGCAATGAAGAGATGCTTCAGGACCAACACACACACAGAGAGATACTCACACATTTAAATGATAAAAAACACTAGTTCCAAAGAATCATTTCATTGTGAAGGGCTCTAAAAGGAGATTTCTGACTGGGACATGGTATTAAAAAGCAAGTGTAGTTCTGAAACATAAAATGCCTAACTTTACATATAAAATAATGACCTCAGGCATAGTTGTGACCAATCAGAAAAGGAATTTAATTGGCTGACCTGCAAAGGTTGTTTTTTTTTTTTTTTTACTTACTGGACTGTACAAGAAAACCTGGAATAACAAACACAGTGCAGTTTTACGTGTTTTACTCAGAAATGCAATACTGAACTTTGTGGAATGTTACTTATAGTTGTGGGATAATCGCTGCAATCTAAATGTATCAAAGACAACTGAATTTACTTTTGAACAAACTGTTCTATAATTGACCAGCAAATCATAATATCCCTGCCTGTATTCTCTCATTCGAACTACTTGTCCCCAAATTAATATATTTGGCTTTTGACTGGAGACAATACTGACTGCCTCTGAGTACCCACAGAGTGCCATTTCCTGTTGTGTTACTGTTGTATATTTGTAGTAATCTGAAATCGGGGCCAAGCTGCAGGAACAATGGAGACCAAGTTTTTAGTTTACTCTTGTATTCTCTATACAAATTAAGCACAACAGAAATCTCTTTGCAAATGAGTTGTGAATTTTCCAGATGTTTTCAAAGTTAAGAAATGCACTTTGTTTCCCTACATGAAAAACTAAAGTATGCCAAGCAACTTCCTAAGGACTATGTGTTGGCAGAATATAGATGTGTGAGAAGGGAGAATTTGAATCAGGAATATAGGCAATAATGTGGCTCTTTGTCACTCAATATGACAGTTCATTCATAAATACCCAGTTGTCTTTAGTGGAGGTTATCCTTCAACAGATGAAAAGAGGAGTCTCTTTCAGTTTTAAAATGTGTGCATTATGCAGCTCCTAAGCCAGAAATAAACAACTGGCTAAGGAGAGCTTTAATAACAATAATATATTTCTGAGAGACACAGAAAAAATTTAAGACAGGAAAAGAGAAATGGCTATTGATACACTATTTTACTTATCAACCTGCCTGGTGTATTTTGAATAAAATAAACCTTCTAAGCAATTTCTGTGCACTGCACAATTCAATCTTATTTCAGCTACCAAGATATGGAAACAAGAATAGCTGTCAGAGAGCCACTTTAGATGCATCCACCATCGGAGAATCTGAGGGCTGAATTTTCTCCTGAAATTCAAGACCTTTAAGTGATTCTTACTAATGCTCCTGATGGAGAGATTTGATTTAATCCAGGAGATAATTCAATTCCATGGGTAGCAGTCTGGCTACAGCTATTTTC